AGGATATTACTGAAATAAGGTATGGAAAGTTAAGTCTTTCTGAAAGTGATAGTATCAGGAATTTGTGTGTAGAAATAAAGAAAAAATAAAGCTGGTTTTTTATTTTCTGTGTTTGATCATTGTCATAAAGAAATTGCTTTTATCGAAATCTCTGGAATTTTTACTACTTCGCTCAATTTTGATATAAATAGCTAGTTAATGAGATTTCCAAAATATTTTGAACTTAGGAGAAAAAGAAACGGTAATGTAAATGTTACAAGAAAATCGCCTTCTTCATTAGCCTTCTTTTAGATATTTTAATAATAATCTGAAAATCTTAATAATCTTTATTTCTATTTTTACTCATTTGAATACCTCGAGCTCATTTCTTTCATTTTATTTTCTCTTATCTAGAAAAAGACCAAAAAAATGTCGTAATTTAAAACCCAAATAATTTGTTTTAAAACATAATGGGACCGTTAATTCTTCAAAGTTTTCCGAATGCTTTTTGGAGTGGAAATATGAGTTTTTCTGAGGAGCACAATAGTTTCTTCTCTTTATTCTTATCAAAATATTTATCCGTGAACATTATTTCTCCCTCATCAAAACCGTTAGTTACGTCATTCGTCATTCATTATCACAATCCCAATTTCCATCTTTTGCTTTGTTTTCTTAGTCAGAAGGAAAATATTTGACGGTTATGCAAGTGCATACACTTCCTCGTTTGTTTTGATTAATCATTGCTATCAGAACTTTCAATTATTAGGCTGAATAAATAATACCTTGTTTTGTTAATCATTTAAAACTGGAAACCGAGTCGAGTATAAAATTTTTGGAAGAGAAATACTTCCGTGGATTGCAATCATTACTGTTGCCAATTACAACTTAACACATCATGTTGTCAGAAATTGATCTATGTTACACAATGGTTTTGTTAAGATTCCTAATTCATATTTTTTCGCTGACTTTTCAAATGTTGAAGGTGTTATGTTAAATTTAATTGGAAATTTTTCCAATTGGTCTTACTCCAAAATAAGCTTTGTTTGAGTTTTATTAGAATAATCTTTACAATATATCTCAAACCTTTGAAGGTGCAATATTTATGAAGCTAAAATTGCAACATTAACTGTTTCCAGAAATTAATGCATTCCAAATTTTTATTTGAAGATTAGTCATTATAATGTAACTTATACAGAGTTCTTTATAGCTTGCAAAACTTACTAATTTTATTAGTACTTTTGAATAACTCCGACTAAAATAATTATACTTTGAAACGAGTCTAGTGATAAAATTGTTTTCGGTGAGGAAGCAATTCCTTATTTATAGGTGTTTTTAAGTTTAGATGCTGAATGTTCGCACGATCAATAATTTAATTCAAGCTAACTTGTTTTTTCAGTGTCTCGAATATATACCGAATGAAATACCGAAGGTGTGCTCTCATGAAGATTATTCTTTCCACATTTTGGTCTAGGTAGTACGTATTCACATGTATGAATAATATGCATGGGCGGCTATGGATGTCAGTAGGATATTATATTATCGTACACATATATAATTATGTGTAATTTAATTATTCAAGTATTTCGATCTTCTGAGCGATTTTCATTTTGTGATGCCACTGCAGCCGTTAATTGAGTTCTATTATCGCCGTTATTACTGTACAATCGAAATTATTGAAGTAATTGAAATAGCAATATATGGTTTATCAAGTAGTAATAGAGTGTGTGACACTGGAAAATTCATCGGGGACTCAAAAATTTTTTTCGACAAACTTTATTAAAGTTTAAAAAATGTTCCATCTATCCAATCTTCTACTCTCCTCCGTCATTCTTAAATATGTCTCCTTTTATGGTACAGAAAAGAACGGAGAAAAAGATCTGACGGCTTACTGACGTTTAATCAAATGAGAGCCATTGAAAGCTGCGTGTTTGACGTTGAAGATACATCCATCTCCCTTGTGAAATATTTATCCCAATGAAAAATTGTACTTTTGCACGATCCTTCCTTCATGAAGTCATATAGAAGACTCAAGATTGGTCAGGTGAAATTCTCCACCTTACTCTTTTATTTTATTGACATACGTGTCTCTCTAATTATCCGATTCATAGACTGATATTCAGACAAAACAGACAATTGGTCATATGACAAATTCATAAAGATGAAATAGCAGAGCTTTCTGTGGTGTTCTACATTGCTGACATTGCTCCAAATCAAAATTTCTTGAAAATTAATCATTCTGAAGAAAAATCTTCTAAAAATCTGCGATATGTGCGATTTGCATAAATTTTTGATGAAATTATCACTAATGATGAAAAAAGTCTTTTACCTGATATTCTGAAAGCAAAGCAAAGGTAACATTTTCATCCAGAACCGTCGAGAACTTCAAGATAATAGTCTGTTCAAATTTGGAAAAGGCGAATTTGCTGCCCTCTTCAGTATACTCAACATAGCTGTTTCAGAAGTCTAAAAATTTCAAATTATAGAAACGTCTAACACGGTTTTCATAGTATTTACTTATTTTGCTGCATTTATTACTTATTTTAATGACACTGTAAGAAAAGTTAAAATGAATTATTCAATCAAAATTTAAATAAATTACACAACGAGCTGCTTTGTTGAAATTTTTTTAAAGTATCCAATTATAATTTATTTATTTTCATAGGTTAGTATATGTAAGCTTTTCAATTAGTAGCAATGAATTCATATCGTTTTTATTTTATTAAACTCTAAACTTTCTCTATATCTAGTTAAAATCTAGTAACTTGCATCATTGTTATTAAATAAAAAGCTTGTTGCCTTCTGGAAATGTCAGAGTAGTGACAAAAAGTGATTACGGTGTATTTCATAGGAAAGTTCCTGAGTCTAAAGGTTAGCCTGAGTCTTCCTATGTTTTTTGCATTTTTGTTTACACACTAATCTTGATGGATTAAGTTATCCTCTTTGCTAAAAGATAAGCATAAAGGATGAGGCTTTTTGAACAATTGTGTCAAAGAAAGGTTTGGATCAGATGTTGGCCTAGCAAGACTTGTCTCATGGGAGTGCTTATCTAAAAGCTGAGAAAAACGACCACTTTCCTTGTTTCCACTTTATAGTTTTTTATGTGCTTTTGTTTTTGTAGTTGACTTCATAACGGAACATATTATTTGCAGAAATGAGCTTCCAAAATATATTAAAATTGATTTCAAAATGATAGGTACTGTATTGTAAAAAGCTATAAAAAGAAGAAAGTTTCAGTCAATTTAGACAATTAAGAAAGCCTACGCTTAATTTCTGCCATTGTATGCTCTGTCATTGAATTACAAGTTGTGGGCTGTAACAAAGTATTGATAACTATTCAGCACTGATTAAATTTGAATTCATTTCCCTAGAATGCTTGCAAAAATTTTCCTGTTTTCGACAGTCTACTTCAGGAAATAAACATAGGAACTTCTTTAGAATAATCTAAAAGCCTTAGTCAATTAAAGACACAAGAAATGTCATAGTGCATCTCACTCGATTCATGTTGTTGTAATTTAAGATTTTTCCTTTGCGAATATCTTGTCACTCTTTAATGTGACCAAGTGGAAGAGAGATGCGGAGGGACGGATATGAGCAAGTAACAGAAAGAATTTGAAACAAATTATCACAGAATGATAAAGCTTCATAAAAATAGAGTGATAATTAAATCTGCTTTGCAATGTTTTTGCAGCACATCTCTACTGCTTGTTTGTATACACATCAAATAAACAAAATACCATATTGACTGAGAAATGGTCACCTGTTAATGCGTGGTAAAATCTTAAAGGGCACTTGCTTATTATGTAGAATGTTATGTAGAATAGTGTCATTCTGCTGTTTTAAATTAGTAATTCATACAGCAAATAATTAGCTAAGAAGAAGCAAGAATTCAATGAGAATATATAAAACTATTGCAGAATAAAAGATGAATTAAAAGGCAGAGTGATGGTACAAAATCAAATCGAACTCTGAATTTGTTCATGTACCAGAGAGAAAGGGAAAGAGTGAGAGAAGAGATAGGAATGAAACAGTCTGAAAAGAAGAAAGAACTTTTTTGATGATATGTTGTGGTGAAATATCGACTTTTTTTTTTTGTTTCATAAATATCGCATACATTTTAAGAAGCAATATTTTATTCAATAGCATTTTTAAATGCAAGGTAAAGCTTTCTTTAGTTGATTACAAAGTTGATTTTGATAAAAGACAGTGATGAAATTTGAGATGGAGAAAAATTTTTAAGCAATTTATGCTGGCCTTTGACGTGATGCCAAGCTACTATTGCCTTATTTTCAACGATATATTTTGAAAGATACATTTTGAAAATGGCTTGAAACTATGATAACTAAGGGCCTGAAGGTTGAGAAAAGTTATTCATATGATGTCTGTACTCAGATAAACACCTGTTTGCAAAGAATTCGAAAATTTACCTATATCAGAAAAAAATTATGGGAAGCTTATTTCTTTTCATATTCCCTTCTCTCATCAGCTTTTTTTAATTCCTGCTTTAGAAATAATGAAAGTAGACAGTGATACTCATTGATTGCTGTGATATTGCAAGCGAAAACTGACATAAATTCTATTTGTTTATGAATAATATCTGTGTCACATTGCTCGAAATTTTTCGAAGCTTTGTAATTGGAACTTTTGTGTGATGATGAACTGTAAGTACTTATGAATTTCACTAGAATCGAAGAGTAACTTCTAATATAATCATCCAGGATTAATCTGAGAGTAGGGGGCGAAATGAAAGATCCTACTGAGACAAGAAACGTTCTTGATTCCGATAAAAACACAATCGGTTAGCTTTTCATTAAGACAACTACTAAAGTTTTAAAAAGTAATTATCGTAGTGCTTTAGAATACTAATTAAGGATCAATGATTTTAACCACAACGAAAGTTGAACTTTTCTGATAATACATATTTCTCTCCGCTTACGATAGCATTGCTGCAAAAATTTTTCTTAATCAAAGCAGTAAAAAGAAAAGAGGACATACATAATTCATAATTCAATAAACTTTCACTCATGAATTTAAACTTTAAGCCAAAAAAAGAAATTCAAAGAATTCTTATTTATAGTGCCGAACGTTTGAATTATTTCATAGGACAACAGGATGGAGAAGGAGGAATTTTGGAACAAATTGGTGAAGATAGGCCAACTGATTTTGCGATCAAAACACATAAAGATCAGATACGACGGGTTCTCTTTCTTTCATGCTTTGAAAATTACGTTTTTTTAATCAGATAATTTGCTGATCCGGTTATTGCTGGTATTACCATATAATAGAAGTGGCTTTTCAAAGAAAAAACTGTAGGCCTGATTTTGTAAAGCTACTTACTTGCTAATTTGCAAATATAAATTTAATTATGATGCAGAAACTAAGAATAGTACTGCCACATATCGGTCTTGTGCTTCTTTCAACAGCTTACACAATTCTCGGTGCTGCTATCTTTCATCATGTTGGTTTACCTTTCCAGTTTCTTCCTCTGTTATGTAGCACTTCTCACTTGTCATTGATAATTCTCGTCTCTAAACTGTCATAACTTCACCAAGTGTTTTCATCAGTTTGAAATGCCATATGAAGTGTATATTCGTAACGAGACTGCTCACCGAATTGAAACCTTAAAACAAAAAATTATCGACAATTTATGGATGTTAGTACAAATGAGAAACAGTAGCAGAGAGGTGACATTTGAAACTTGGTCCAAAGCAGCACATCTTGGGTTCGTTTGTTTCTAATTTCGTACTGAAAAGATTAAATATTGCTTGAAGATCAAAAATAATATTAAAGCTCAAATTTTGAGAATGTTGTACACATTCAAAGAAGTCGGAATAGTTTGTTTAAGTGATTGTTGCAGAGAATTTTTATAGTACTAACTTAGAAAATGACAATTCAAAAATTTTTAAAGTTCATAACTTTTGCTTTTGCACCTTATAGATTTTCTTTTTCTAATAATTTGGAGAATACTTCTCGAAAGAGTGAAACTATGAAAGTTTTTCGCTATAATGAATCCTTGAATTGGTCAAGAATTCATTTTACTTAAGCAATAATTTTAAGACAACTTAGTGCTATTAAGCTAATTGATGATCAAAGAAATAATTAGTTGTTAGTGTTAAATTAAATTTCGAAATTTCAAAATTCAACTGAGGAATTGCAGTATTAATGACGTAATTCGTGATGTGTTTATTGATTATACGAAGAATTATATGACACCCGATGACATAATCAAAGGTGCCGGACCGGTGAAATGGTCGTTCGGTTCCAGTGTATTTTTTTCATGGACTGCTATTACAACCATTGGTAAAAGTTACTTTGGTCAAATTGTTCCGTTTATATTTGCAAGTACCTTTTTGCTTTCCCACTTTATTTATTTATGTAATAAGAAATAAACAAAGTATAAAAATAAGCGACAGATTAGCGCTTCGAAAAATACATAAGACAAAATAGGAGCGACCTGTGACATTTGAAATTTAATTGCTTTTCATAAAGGAATCTTGTACTGTTTTTACAAATCTAAAATTTATGAAAGAGCAAAATTAAATGGATTGAAGTTTTTTCTCAGAATGAGCTGGGCATAAGTGTAGTCGCAGGACTGGTATGATTTTTCGGCTTGCAAAATTTCTGGTTTGCTTATCCGTTATCCATGAATTATATGATGTTTATTTGCTTTTCTAATGTGGCTGAGAGTTGTTTAGTTATACTGTCAGCATTTTCAATCAGTCCGAAAATTAACTCTGCTTGAAATTCCATATCGATTACTCTATCCTCCTTCTTTAGCTTTGAGAATTTTGATTTGAATTTAGGTTATGGACATATAGTGCCGAGAACCAATGAAGGCCGGATAGCATGTCTTATGTATGCATTGTTAGGTATTCCGTTAATACTTGTCACCATTGCTGATATTGGACGATTTCTCTCCGGTAACGCGTTTTTTCCATGCTAAGCGCTACTTCAAAATTGCGCCCAGTTTCTGTTTTATTGTTTCGAACACACGAATATTGCAGAGAAACATTTAGATTTAAATCCTCAATAAACTTAAGAAAACTTCAAGCAAACATTTTCGCTGAATAAAAAACTTCCATAATCTTATCTTCTTCCCCTTCTTTGCTCAGCTCTAATACTCTGGTTGAATTTTAAATTACATCCTCCAGATCATTTATAAAAGCATCGAAATTCAGAATTAAGTTCAAATTTTGTATGTGTTATTAAGTGAAGATGAAAGAGATGATTCGAACAAGAAAATGAATTCAATATCTTACCAATTGTAAAATTTGTAGCCGGTATAGTCTGGGTTCATTGCATGATAAAATTGGTACGTTTGGAACTGTTTCGAAAAGTCGCACAATTTTGCGTATATTGTTGCAGTTGTGTTCCTTCTATCAAGTAAAGTCCCTTTTAATATGATCTGTCCTTTGCTAAAATATCAATTTTTGAATGCTTAAAATCAGAAATTTAAACAACAATTACCTGAAAAGATAATCGCATAGTTGGCCATCGATCACGTCTTGATTTGGAGGAAATTACATCTTATCTTTTTAATTATCAATTAATACATTTCAATAAAATACGGCTGTATTTGCTTTCGCTTTCTTTCGTTTTATTTTTACAGAAAGAAAAAAAAGCAGCCGAAGACAATGTCTGCCAATGATGTTGCAAATATTAAAAGATCAAAACGACGACGACAGAATCACATCGACACTATTTCTGAAGCAGGCACATTTGAGGGTATACTTCTTGGTATTCTATTTATTAGAATACATTTCGATTATTCACTCATCAAAAATGATCTTTACTCCTTCATTTAATAAGTGAGAATTTAGGCATCAAATGCTGAAATAGAAGACTATGTGAGAATCGACTGAACGAAAAATACTAATTAATGTATATGAAACTGATGCGAAGAGTTTTAACTTGTAATGCAATTGTAATTAACTTTTATTATACTTTTAATTATGCTGGAATGTAAAAATGAGTAATTCAGTATGAGCAAGTAAAGTTGACATAAATTTTGCAGATATATCGGAGATTCATACACAAGAAAGTGAAAAAACAATTTCGGAAGATACACAAGCAAGAGCAGATGAATTGGAGGAATATGAATCCCATCATGACAGGCGCATCTCGGTGTTATTTGTGCTCATCATTATGATAGGTTATCAGTTTCGTCAAGAACTTTTAAAATCAGTCAGATTTCGTTTTCACTTAAAGAATGTATTTTTAAAAATTAAATCAAAATTAAAAAAATTAAATTCCGGTTATTCTTAAACATCAAAAAATTGCAGGTTATACTGCTGGTGGTGCATGCCTTATGCAACTTTGGGAAAACTGGACATTTATGGAATCATTTTACTTCTGTTTCGTTACTGTAACCACTATTGGTTTGTCATATCTTCTTGAAACTTCGACTAATAATGATTTTAAAATGTGAATGTTTATATATTAGATATGCTATGACTAACTGACCAATGATGAAAATTACCCGCAGTATAATTCCAGAAGACCAATTCTCGATTAGAAATTCATAATGCATTCGAGAAAGGAGGTTGCAGGTTTTGGAGATATCGTACCTCAGAATGCGGACTTTCTGCCAGCAACGCTCATGTATATCATTATTGGCCTTATTATTACAACGATGTGTATCGGTGCTCTTTTCTTACTTACCGAATTACAGTTTTTTAAAAATTGCAAATAACAGCATTTTGCAAGTTACCCAGCAAACAAATTACAGATTTGGTAGGAAGCGAATACATTCGAGATATTCATTTCTACGGTCGAAGTTTGGGGCGCAGTTTTATGACAATTGGCGGTAAAGTTGTGCATCTTGGGGAAGTCAGTTCTTCTCGCAGTTCTTTATTTTTCCTAACTTTTCATTAACTTATCATTTAAAATCTAAACAAATTCATTTGATAAATGGATTTGAATGGTTTGAATCAAATAATTTTGATCTTTCACTGTAACTGTGATTGCATAATGAAATTAGTAATATTGTCACGTAGCTTATATCAAATTGACTATTTTGGTGCAATGTTTTATCACGTTGTAAATTGAGGCAAAATGTCTTCTCAAATCAAAATTAATTACATTAATTTTGATTTGATTTATTATTATTAAATCGTAGCATTTGTCGCATCTAATCATAATCGAGTGAGGACAATAAAAAATTTTGAGAAGCCGAATCTTTTTTAATGTTGCTTTATTTGTATAATTGATATGAAAATGAAAAAAAAAAAAAAAAATGAATTAGAGGTTGTTTTTAGGTATTTGGTTATGTAGCGTTTCTCCAGAAGAAATATGGCCTTACTGCGGAACAGATCAATAAGCTAGCTCAATTACCGGAAGAATATTTGCTTGAATGCTTAATTAACGGCAGGCAACCTGATCTAAATTGGATCGGTTATTTTTTTTTAAAGTTTTTTAAAGAAAAGATAATAAAACAATCATCATATTCAGTTCTTTTCATCTTTCTGAAGTTTAACCTACTGATTATGTAGTGCTAAGATAAAACTTCTCATAATTGCCATTCGTACTGGATTGAAATGTGCAAGAAAACATTAAGCATGGCGCATTTGTTACAGCTGCTGTTTTAATTTTAACAAATAATTCCTTCAATTTTTGACAATATTTCAGTTTCATTAGGTTATGATGACTTTGATCACTGATTATCTCTGAACAATTTCAGATGGTCGTCCTTATGTACCACCTGATATTTATTATTTCAAATGGATTGAGCACCCGCGTACGCTCTCGTTTGTATCAGAACGTGTGTTAGCAAGTATGGAATCACTGGATTTGAATACGAGTAAGTGCAGTACAGCAAGGACACTCACGCCACGTGAGTATTACCAAAGGATTTTGCTGCAGTACTGCAAGCAAATACAACCTACTGGTCAGCAACAGCAACAGCAGTCATCCGATACTCAAGTGTAAGATCATTTCTAACTATTGTGAAGCTTGTGATAAATATTATGCAAAATAGCAATGTATGATAATCTTCATTTGTTTGTTAAGGTCTCAAGAATTCATAAATTTTAAAGTTATTGAACATATGCCACATTCATATACACCTAAAAAGTGCTGAATATCTGGAATAATAATTAACATTTGCTGAAATAATTGTTTATTCATTAGTTATTGGTAAATTTTCTGACTTGAATATTCTAATCAACAAGTCATCCAATGTTATGACAAATGTCACCGACTACCTGGTAATTTATTTTGAAATAAAAGTTATTTTTAATAAATTCCTGTTTGTATTTAAGAAATTTAGAATATCATCGAAATTATTGATAGCCAATGTTATTACTTGCATCAATGCACCAAAATTCATCTATAGCAATTTTTTCAGAGTTATTGTAAATTTGAGAATTATGGTAATTTTTAGTTAATGAAAACTCTGTTTCAAATTTTACCCTCTGAATGGAATTTTTATTAATCATTTGTCGTATGTTTGTATATAAAGGCATTTTCATGTTCACATTACAACCATTCTTTATTTCTATATTTTATTCGTTTTGTGTGTAGTTTTATTGAAATGAAATTATGTTTATTTTGTGACTTTGTGATTTATGCATTTGTGATTGAATTGATAGTTGAAAGAGAAATTTTGACTGTTTATTTTGTGAAATTATGTTTATTTTGTGACTGATTTATGCATTTGTGATTGAATTGATAGTTGAAAGAGAAAATTTAGAACTGCCGCAACAAAACTTGCCTTAGTTTCTCAATTTTTTATCAAACTGTGAATTGAAAATGTAGAAGAATAAAATATGGCCTTGTCATTGAAATTACTGGAAGAGAAAAAGAAAGTATTTTGCAAAGATAAATGAGTTTAGAAAAACTAATAAATTGAGAAGCATGAAACCAACCTGGATGCATATTGAAAATTTGTTGAAAAAGTTGATTGTAAATATGAATAAGAATTTGAAATCTATGCAAGGACTCATAGTATTTCCTCATCATCTACAATAAACGATAATTGAAAGGATTTGTTTTAAAAATGAAAGGTTAATTTAAGATATTAATTATGTTGGCGTTGCGTAGCAGCTAAGAGTGTTGTTGTCCTTCGCAACGTTGTTTTGCAAATGAAGTTTAGAGAGAAGAGAAGTAAGTGAGGGATACTCCTATTGTTATCATTATTTTTTCGATATTTTTAGCACTTATTCTCATCGTTGAATAAATTAGAATTGTTTGATTAAATGCTTTGATAATTCTTACCAAAATCATAAGGAACATTTTGCTTTGCAATTCTTCCTGTTTATACTTTATTGAATGGTCAATCTTAAATGACTTTATTTTGAGATAAATTTTCAAAAAAAAGATAAATGATATTCTAAAGTAATTTCAAATTTATTCTTACTTGTTTTGACCATCTAAGAGCAGAATTGATAGCTACAATTCGGTGATTTTTGTTCTTTCCTATGATTTGTCTAGAAATGAAGACACTGACAAATTATAACACTCTTTGTACCATACTTTGAGGAGCTCACATTATGCGCCTAAATGCAAAATACGTGTTCTGCGTTCAGCATTGCTTGCTACGCTCTTCAGTTCTATTCTTCTATGCAATATTTTCACAGACCACAGCTTTGCGATGCTACGTTGTAAGTTTCCTTTTTTATTTTTCCTCGTTAAATTTATTTTTCTTTTTTATAAACTCCACTGAATTAGTTTACAGAGTGGACCCACACCAAATAACAATAGTGTTGACGTTCCACTCCAGGAATGTCACCCAACTGTAGTGTCCTGCATGACAACAATCAGTTGGGTAAACAATTTCTCCTCGTTCTACTGCTCAACAAGAAAGTGCATTACAAAGGTTGTTACATTCATATTGACGGTGTACTATTTCATCCATCCTTCCCACAATCTTAGGACTAGAAGTTTGCATTTACATTAACATTCCACTTTCTATGACCATATATCATTTCCAAGTATTCCTTTTTAAGCAGTTGACTAGACTAAAATACAGATGAATGTAGCTCTTACATTCTAAATACACCTATATGTAATCTTCATTTTATCTAAAGATTTCTGATTTCTTTTTTAAAAGTTGAGAGTAATATAAAGCTGAAAATTCATGAGCAGACTGGAGAGACCAGTTCTTCCACAACATCGACATTCTACAACACTGTAAACGATTCGCAAACGATCTACTGCTGTTACACAGATGGATGTAACTCTCATTCTTCGACACGTTCCCTCAAATCGAGCTTATCTTTTATGATCCTCATAACTGTCATCTTCTTTCGCATCAGTTGATAAAACATTTGCCACTTTAACAGTGATAGTTCTACGATAGGAATGTAAAATTCGAGATGTGGAAAAATTATTTTCAGACACTGTCGAAAATTTAAGAGTTCTGTAAACAGCAAGGAGGACCCGTTTCTAAAACTTACCTATTATAAAGCTAGAAAATGAATTCATATAAACGATTTATCTCATTAAGAGTAAGTTTGAAGTAGATTTTTCAGCCGCATTGCAAGCATTAAAAATTAATTTCTATAGTGGATTTTCTTTTGATTACTGTATATATCCATCTCATCATAGTTGAAAAACAGAATTCCAATTTAGCATATCATTATGATCTTACAAGAAAAAACACAAAGGATGTTACAAAGAATTAAAGGAGGGAAGATTACTGAAGCATCAGCATCATAGTTTCAACGTTTATATGAGAGAGGAAAGTATCATAAGAAGAAGATTATAATATTTACAACAAAAATACACTCTCTTCAGTTCACTCATAGCATTTCAGAAAAGAAATGCTTCCGATAATTTATGAGAACAACGAGTCACAATTCTCTGAATAGTAATACTATTTTCGAGATAACAAATACATGCTAGAAAATGCTTCAACATTCACGAGTATCGCTAAGCTAAGGGCACATAAACATTTTTTATTAAAATCAATTCTTCAAAAAAAGACTTGGCAAATTGCTTTTAAGAAATTTCAACTTCTATTGAAATTTTAGGTTTGTAAACAAAATAAATATGAAGGAAAAGCAAGAAGAATCATACGACCAACGCATTTTTGTATTATTGTGACATTTTAAATAATTCAGATTTGGCTCTTTCTCGTCTCCAAAAATTGTAACTTGTAAATGGCAATCTCTTCTTGAATTCTATTTCTAATTTTTTCAAACTAAGATAACACTACACTTCCGCAATCTTTGCTGTTGCTAACTAGGAACTAAAATGAAAAAAAAATGTTCCTTTTAATAATGACGAAATTAGTAATAACAATTCTATTTTACTAGAAAGCACTAATATTGTTTGTACCTTTTTTGGTTCGCAAACTTTACCTCTTCGAAAGGTCTAATTTGTCTGTCGCTTTGTATCAGATTTCTGGTAAACATTCAGAGAAACTGAAGTTCGATTTAAGAATTTTGTTTGATCCTGTTGAAAAAAATTCATTTGAAGTCTATTTCGTTGTCGTTGGACAAAGAAACATTCAAAATGTTTTATAATTGTCGTTGAGCAGGAAAAATTCAAGAAATTGTGCACTTTAAAATATTTTATAAACTAAAACAAAATATTCACTCAAAGATACAGTTAATTGGCGCAGGCAACATTGATGCAGCCACAGGCAAAAGAAAAATGAATAAGAATAGAAATCATTCGTTATATTTCGATACGATTTTTATATTATTATGGCGAAGTTTATACTAAAGAAATATAATTCGAGATACCAATTCTTTACTTCATTACCTTATGCAATAATTTTCTTTTTCTTTTCAGCATCTTTTAAGACAGATGATAATAAGGAAAATTATTAAAGAATGTATATATAAATGAAAAAAGAATATTTAAAATACTTATGTCAACGAAATAAATGAAGGATATTTTTGGTTGATTTGCATCAGCGACACACACGCATCAGTGTGGTACCTGCAATGTGGTGACATAAATCATTTTAAAACAGTATATAATCAGATAGTATTACTTGTTTGCGTTCAGAACTTCAGATGCACAACACAGACGTTTCATGAAGGGAAAATTGATTTATCATACCATGACCAGCTTTAAATTTTTTATAAATATTTAGCTTTAGCCATGCAATAATTATTAATAATAATAACATGCAATAATAATACTTTTCATAATCTAAATAAAAATTCTGGCCATAAATCTGGAAGATTAAATACATATATATGCTTAATGCAAAATATGCTCTACGATTAGGCAAAAAATCTGTTGTTTAGCACATTAGTATAGAACTTCCTTTTCCTTTGGGATATTCAAAAAGGAAAAAGAAGTTCTATACAAACATTTTTTGCTTATTGTTGTGCTAGATAAACTCTACGAAGTATATGGATAAGTAGTAGTTCTATTCTTCTACCAATGAATTTCAATGGAGAAGAAATTTCTTGCTTGAATACTTCAATTAATAATACAGTAGTAATGTTACCCGAGAAATATTCGAAATTTCCATCTTTTTTGTTCCACACCACGATAGAATATAGTCAGTTGCCGCAGGCAGCATACTGTCAACTGAAAAGATAAAGCAATAAATTTGCACTTTATGTTATAATTCTACAGAATAAAGTCAAACTTTGAAACTCCATGCTTTAAAAGTAAGTACAGTTTTCTTTCTGTTTAATGCGCAATTTCATTCATTTCTCTGTTCAGTACAGAAGTCATGCTTTATATCCAAAGAGAAACCTTGCTCAAGCATATTTGCCTCATCCATTAATTCCTCTGCCGGAATTCCGCGTTCAATATTTTTATCACTTAATAAAACTTCTTCAGAACTGCACCATGACATGGCGAACATTGAGACTGCTAAATTATTAATTACATTTCAGAAACTCCATAACACTGCTTCGTTTCCGTCTTTATCATTCCTTTGGATGTTTTAAAAAAGAAGTTAAAAAGAATTTCTATCGAGAAATTGTGCCAAAAAAATTCTTTTAAATACATAACAATTTGAAGAGCTAAGGCTAACAACAGCACAAAGACTTTATTGCGAACGATTTATAAATTATGCTGAAATATTCTTGCATTATCCACGTTCTCAGTTTTTCCTTTTTTATAAAAGCAGTTCACCTAGGTAAAACTAAATAAAGTCAAATTGTTTTAGTTTCCATTGCTGACTGAAACTTCATTTTTTACTGCGAGAAAACTTATCTTGGTCTGCAAAGTGTGTTACTTTATTAGGGTAAAGTAAAATTTGCAGATCAAGAAATTATAAATTCATAAGACATAAAATAGTGATTTTCAAAAAATATCAGAATGGCCAATCAAAAATAAGTCAAAAAATCATATTGTAATTTGTTTCATCCAGAACGTTAGATGGATTTTTCGTACGAAAATGACGTTTGTCCACTGAATCTAAAAATCATTTAATTTACAGTTTATGATAAGATTATTCCGTACTACCCACTATATTATATATTTGCAAATAATGTATCCTGAAACAACATAATAATTATGAAATAACTTTATTAAAATTAATGAAAAGATAAGAAAATTTATTACGCAACAGATCCTCTTGTACTCACAAGCTTCACTTTCGGTTTCAGCATTATTTTTTGGAAACGAATCTTCCGAAAGTTTAAATTTATTATTTTATTTTTTCTTTCTTATTCTTTACAAAATCACAAAGCAAGAAAAGGCTTTGTAGTCAGAGTAGCTCGCAAACTTTGCATATTGTTGACTGAATGCATGCAGAGTACATTGTATTAATGTAGAAATAAAATACTGGAAATTATAAATTTAAACTTTCGGAAGATTGGTTTCTAGAACGATTTTAAAAAATGAAGAAAGATAGCTTTGTAATATGCTGTAAACAAAATTTTAAAAACAAAATTACTAACTTATATTCTTTCTACGACTTCTACATCTCCGTCTGTTTCCTTCATAGGCATCTTAAAACTACTGCTGAGTTGATGAAATAATTGATTTTCTTTGCTAAATTATTATTTTCGAAGTATTGCGGACGTAAGAAACTCCTTAAAAATTCCACCAGAGAAATGTTTACTCATATCATCTATTCTATTGAAATCCGACCCATTTTTTCGAATACTTTATTAAATTTCTTTCTTATGATTCTGCAATATAAGAGCCCGTAAAATTTTGAGCGTCTTCTACAGACCTAGGATCGACTGCGCAAATAATAAGCTAATAGTTAAAAAAAAAAAAAAAAAAAAAAAAAAAAACAATAATTCTTTATAAAAGGTCTCTATAGATGATAGAACTCCAAAATTATGGAATGTAACGTGTAGTCCATTTAAACAATCATTTCCATAAATAAATAGAAGTTTATACAGTAAAAGGAAAACAAGAGGTTAGGCACATATTTAATTTTATCAACTTACAGCTGCAGAAGATGCATTCTTTTTAGTCAAATGATATTTTTGTTGCATGGTAACATTCACAGTACGGTTTTTGAATTATAGAGTGAAGTAATATGAAGAATATATGTTAATAATTTTGAAACAAAAACAAATATAACCTTTTTCTGTTGTGCTCGATTTGTCTTGTAAATGCACTAGTGCTCTGCAAGTTTTGGAGCACCAACGTGTCCGTTTCTTGATTAAATTGAACGATGTTAATCGAGCATTGCATGATTCGCATCTTCTATCTATCCATTTGTCCAAAACAACGGCGAGGTGAACTTTTTTTGAAAGCTTCTTTGAACAAAGAGATCCTGCTTTTCCTAAAAAAATAAGCATAAAAGCATAGTACAAAATAATTACAAAAATCAAATTCTATTTTAATTGCTGTTCAAAATTTTCTCAAAAACGGCACAGGACGTATCTGACCTTCAACTGGAGATCCTAAACATTCATCGTCACTTTTCATTGTGGAGAAAGAGTCCAGCACAGTCCTCTCCTAAAAACGTACGAATGTTGCGAAAGTTTCTGAACTCCCGTCTTTCATAAAGTAATATAAAGTGAAACATAATAAAGTATCATTGGATACCGAATTATACTTGCTATATCATGCAATGGAATTGGAAAACAGAACAGCATAAATTAATGAGACATTAAAATATCTAAGAAACAGTGCAGTCCCTACGTTATAGCAATTCCTTCATCCATAAAATATCTGAACCTATATTTCCTGCATTTGTAATTCTTCAGCGTTATATTTAAAACAGGCAAAAATGGAACTTTAAATATAAATCTGGTCGGCTGAAAAACCGATTTCTTAGTTTCATTTTTTAGTGAAATCTGTGTTATTCTTCTACCTTATCTTTCCTAGCACTGAATTTATATTTAGTCCAACTGCGCTGTATCTTTTGCTAAAATGATTATATTTAGTATTTTATAACTTCACTGTGGTCAGTAGTTTCTACTGTTTAAAAATAATGAAATCTTATTAAAACAAAAAACATTATTGATAGTTAAAATTACCTTAGTCTTTTGTATGCCAAGTGGTTGGTGACCTGACTTTTGTTTTTTTATAGATAATACATTTTTCCAAATTTTATTACTGGAGTTTTGCTCACTAGACCATTCAAAACACATGCGCTGAGGTGGTCGTTCATTTAGTTTTGAATCATTTCCAAACATACTGTGATCAGCAGTCTCTGCTAACTCATTGTTCTCATAACGTTTTACATTGTCATATCTTGCAATTGACACTGATCGTGATTCAATTTCGATAATGCTTCGGCATTTAACGCTAGTCATGCCAAATGAGCCTACATTATTTTTAGTTTTCATCTGAAGTCGCACTAAAGATATTCTTTTTGAAGTACTATAGTGCTCATTTAGGGACTGATGAGTTCAGAATTCTGAAAACGACTACTTTTATGACAAGTTATGTATAAAAATACCTGAATTAGTTGAATAACTAATATTATGATGAAAAGTGCTTCTTGTCTGAGTAAGAAAATAAAATAGTGAAGTAAAGAGAAGGAATATCAACCACATTAACCTTGGACCATTTTTTCTTTATTCGTTCTTTCTGACACAGGCTTTTTCTTTGTTTCTTTTAATACTGAAATAATTTTCATAATGGAAATACTACCGTACCGTCTTCCCAAACAATATTTAAATGTAATCATTAGCAAATCAAATTAAATATGACCATTAGTAAATCAAGTCGAGTAGGATAAAAAGTTGAAAATATAATAAAAAAATTTATTGAAATAATAAATAAAAAATAATATAAAACAGCACGCAAAGAGAGGAACCGCAGAACAGAAAAGATGAAACAAAAGAACTAACTTTTATCGAGATCCTGGAAAGATAGTTTGTCCAATAAATTCCTTCTTGACATACCTCCACCTAAAAAAACTTCATTTGTTGATTAGAAACTGTACTTAAACAGTAAGGAAAAATCAGTGGAATCTTCAGGAAACTTGAATCGCATTTCTATTTATTGTATGAAGTTCAAGCAGATTTGATAGTTTATGGAAAAATTTAATACAAAGATCAATTTGCGGACGAAAAATCGCACTGTCATCACTACGAAATTTATTTGGAATAAGGATGGGATTTATTGCTGTTTGAAAAATGATATTAGATTGATTTGAAATTCGATAGATTACAGAGAGATACTTTTTAAACTTTTAACATAAAATGAACGTAGCACTTGAATAGATAGAGCTGAAGTGATAAGATTCCCAATTAGTTCCTAACGAAAACTATTTAATTCTCGTCATTTCTATTTACTTATTTATCAGGAAGGATTTATAAGAAAGAAATGAATAGTTAATTATGAGTGTTAGAAAAGGTAAGGTGTGATAAGAATAGGTAGGTAACATCTATCGACGTCAATTGAGTTAAGTTGAACTCTCACATATAACACGAAGAAAAAACAAGTAACGGTTGCGTGACAGTAAAGCCTACTGAACTGATCTACCTCCTCACATTCTGCGTAATTATGAAGAAGAATGGGAAGTGACAGGACAAAGAGGTTCTTTCGCATGCGTGCGATACGATACTTCCTCTATCTTTTGCGTTTCTGTGACCCCAGTGGTGTCTTCGGGATGACTTAATGGTTATTGCATTATGTTTTTTATTTAGTAGGAAGAATAGATCCTTGTACCGGAAATGCAATTTCAAGATACTGTAAATTTCCTAAAATAAAATCTAAGTTCTGCATGATTTGCAAAATCTCGTAATACACGAATCTCAATTAAAATTGTTAGCAAATTGGCCGTATTCAGTGTCTCCGTTACAACTTTCACAATAGAGTGTAAAATGACCGCCGGATTTTGTGTACGAAAAATAAGACTGCTCCGGTGAAGAGAGCTCCGCACTAATTCCTTGAGACGTACGATGCAGAAGATGAGTAATTCCCGTTGTTGTCTCAGATGCGTTTCTTTTTAATCGTAATTATCTTTTATCGTTCTTCTATGCATCGAATCCATCTTACATGTTAGTCATTTGATCACAGCTTTATTGACGTTTATCACGTATGATTCTCGACGATAGCTAAGCCTTCAATTTCCATTTACCAAAATCTTTCGCTTTCATAGTGTAGCTATTTTGACTTACAAAGTAACTGAATGTGTTTTCAGAATGTGAATTTTGTCTTTGTTATCTTTCTGTCTACGATTATTTGAAACGTCCGACTTGTTATTACTTAATGTTTTATTTCATATTAAAAACACTTCATTTTGTTGATATTCTTTGATTTCATATAATTCCAGCTAATCTTCATATGATCAGTTTTATTATTTTTTTAGTTCGTTACGATAATTCTAAAACATGTGTAATAACTTTCGTTTAGTTTGCATTGAACTTACAATTTGCTCAAGTCACCTGATTAATTTCTATTATTACTTTTCGTGGTTGTGGTTTGCATAGTGTAATCTCTCATAGACTCATAATATTGAATATCTCTGGCTTTCAGCATAGACTGATAGATTGATTTATGTGTTATCCAATACTTTGGTGAGCACTTAGCTTCAGCGCTTAACAGTTTTCTGTATTGGAAGAAATTCCCTGTGCTGCATCTATTGGAAAAATTTTGTTTTTGAAGTCTTTGCTGCTTTTAACCTCAAAGAGTGCTGCCATGTTCCGCACAGTTAATTTTTAATGACTTTTTAATTAGCTAAATTAACCGAATTTTTTTATTATTTTTCACCACAACAGAATATTGATACACATTCGGTCCGAATCACATTGCATAAAAAATCAATTTCTATTATCAAAATTCGGTAAAAATTTCCAGACTTGTATTTTGGAGCACCAATTTCAGGTTCAAATTAGTAGAATCAGCCGAAAAGCACATCAGAACAATACCGATGATCAGTAACATTGATTGTCCTAGACTGGCAATAATAATAGCCTGATTTATTGAATTTGTTCATGTGTGTTATAGGTTTTATTGATGAAAATATGTTCAAAATATTCATCGTATTATTTGTTTTGTTAATACAGATATATACAAATATTCATCCAAAATATTTTATACTTATCATCATTTGGTGTTGTAGCTGTAAATTTGAAATAATGAGACTCAATTAGTTTTTTATAATTAAAAAACTATTCAGTTAATTGAATTTGGTTCACTTGCAATTTTGCGAGAGAAGTTGAATTTCAAATCATGATAGAAAAGTAGAAACAGGCATCATATCCATTATCAGCATTATTATCCAAGTACGCTTAAAAAGTTTAAAAGTCCTTCCGAATTTTCTGATGGGTTTTAAAGCTTTTTTAATTTAATGGATAATAATAGCATAAGTAGGAGTGAGTGGTCGAAGAAATTGCTATAATATCTTATAGCGTTAATATATTATTATTTCCTGAGATGTTTATAAGTTTGGAAAAAACGAAAAACAGAAAATGAATATAAGGTTAAAAACAGAATGAGAAAAGATCCATTCTTTTTAAATCAATTTTCTTATTTACTTTTTATTAACTTCTGAAGTGTGCTAGCTTGACCTCTAGGTTCGAGTCTTCAGAATAGAGTGTACTAACAAGTGAAATCATGAATAGAAATTAGTCCAAAAGCAAAACTATAGAGAGCAAAGTACTCGAGATCTATATTGACACCAACGATGTACCTAGAAACACCCTCTGCTAGAAAAATCTTAACTTACTCTTTATACTTAGACCATTAAAAAAAAAAAAAAAAAACTTCAAATGACATAAAAATGGAGAACAGTAAAATCTTGTATTACGTGTTACATGAAAGCTAACTTTAATTTTTTTGCATAAAAAGTATCAAGCAATTTCATAACTTGAATACTTGTTTTCATGTAATCCAACTGTCCGCATAGAAAGGCTATGATAGACTGATAACACCGTATCACCGATTGCTTATCGCTGGGAACATTTTAAGTAATTAAAATTGAAATTAGCTTTGAAAGTTAGCTCAGCTTTGAAAGTTCTAAAAAAATTTGATTTCCTTTGAAATAAAATTGATGTAAAATAACATATTAACTGTTAATAGACTGAACAGTGCCAGTGTAGAATATCGTTTGATGGTCATTTCAATTACATCATTATTGTAAAATGAAATGCCATTTTGAATTGCTATTTTAGGATATCAGAAAGAGGACAAGATTAGTTAAAATAATTTGAAAAAAAATTGCTTACACTTTGACATCTATATTGATATTTTGCACTGTAAACCAATTTGATCGAACTTCGATAACATAAGATTGCTTCGGTATTATAAGATCAAATGAGCATTCTAAAATCACTTCTAGTTCAAATAATAAACGTGAATTACTTGCTATTTCACGAAAACGCTGGCGACTTTGAAAAGTAACACAGTCATCGTCTAATAGATTAAGAAATAAAGATTTTCAAAAGTATACAAAAGTGGACTTGCATAGCAGTTTACCTTAGTTCAAACTTTTGTGTTAAGCAAGAAATAATAGATACCGAATTTATCAGATCACAAAATTTCAGAACACTTTTCGGTATAGTACAAAGCAAAATAGTCGATATGATAAAAAACATTAACAATGACACCCTCCGGTCAAGAGGAATAAATAAGGTCTTTATGAAAATTATGAAAATTTAGATGAACTTTTGCTAGAAATATTAGAACTTGCATTTATTCTCACGTTATTTGTTATTAATTACTAACAAAGAATCCAAATCTGACGAATTAAAAGAATATAAATGGCTGGAGTAAAAAGTACTAGGTGACAATAAATCAGCGGCGACAAATAATTATTTTGTACTAGAAACTTATCTCAAATTCTTTAAATAAAAATTCAAAAACCTGTAATGCTGACCCAATTGATAATCCAACAGCAGAAGATCGAATGGTAATAGATAAGGCTCTGATACAATCACGAGATATCCTTGCTGCATTTATCCTTAACACATAAGTGATCTAGGAGCGTTTTTTTTTTTTTTTTTTCAAACGAAATACAAAAAACTTTTTTTCTGATTTTTAGATTTCTAAGACTACAATTAATAACTTGAAGATATAGAGGTGCTTCTGTTTATAAACCGAGGTGTTTTACAAGCATTCATAATTCTTCAGCAGTTAGTTTTATCTGTAATTGGATGGAATGCTTATGAAATCAGAGAATTCTTTACATATTATTTTCACCTTGCATATGCGTTGTATCATTGTTTTTTAAAATTATTTGTAAACCTCACAAAAGCTTTTGATTGTTTGCTTTTATTTCCAAATAATATAACGGTTATGACACTTTCATGAAATTGCTCGTTGATAATTAAAACCAAGAAGAATTTTGAATGACAGAAAGTGGTAAGCAGAGTTTTTCTACATTGAATTAAGAGGAAACCGTCACTAATCAGTGGTATGAAATAATAGTTCAAATAATACTTTTCGCTATCACTTCTTGCTTATTCACATAGATCATTTTAATTCGCAAGTCTACATATCTATGTTGTGTATGTTAATGGCTTTCAAAAATTGCCATTAAAAAATCTTTGATCTAGAGTTATTAATAATTGTTTTAAATTTTTGAAACCGTGTTTGTCAACATTTTTGTATTTGAAAGTTGGAAATGATTTTGTGCGCTCCCTTTGCTATAATTGTTGAATGCGAATAATTTGTTGAAACATCCAAAATGCTCGCTTCCTGAACTTTTTCTCCATTGGCTTAATATCAATTATATTTATCAAGAAGTCACTGATTAAATTTCAATATTTCGGTATTAGGATAAATGCTCGAACAGAAATAAAATTTAGCAAAACGAAATTAAAAGGGAATACTCTTTTCATATGTTATCAATTTGAAACTCTTTAAGCGCAAATATTTCACACATTTCATATTATTGTTAATATATAGTTGTAGACTATGCAAAAATGAGAAGAATTTATGACCGTGTGCACTTTTTTAGAAATAAGAGTTAGAACGCAATGATGTCGTTCACAATGTGTTACAAATTCAGAAGAGCAATTTGATAAATGATTGTCATGACGAGGAACTAAATGACTTTATTTACTCTTTCATTTAATTTACTTTTTTATCTCTTCAGTGGAAAAGCAAACAGCCATTGTTTTGATGTTTTTGTTTCTTAGAAGCTACAAAATTTTTTTGCAAATTTTGCAGTCGGGAAGGATGCATGTGAAGCATTTCTGTTTCATATATAAATAGAATAACATTATGTTCGTCCCGTTGTAATGATTTCGTTGGAAATTTGCATAAAGTTTGAGTAAGAAGTCCTATAATCCCTATGACAAGTATTATATTTTTTTAGAATTACTTTCTTACTTTATTCAGTACTTGAATCAATTAACTTCCGTGCTGTGGTATTGTATCAATTTCGTGAAAGATTCCAGAACGATTCGTTTGTTCATAACGATTAATTGTTTATATTGAAACATTCAATTTACGGATCAAAATATTTGAAATCAGTACAGAATTACGAAGTTGGTGGCAATATTCCAGAATTCTGCAAAGAAGTTTTTAACACTTCGACAACACGGAAGTAAAAAGTATTTCTCTGAAAGGTTTCATTCAAACAAGTATAAATAAATTTGTAGCTATATTTCGTAGATCTTTTTGTTGCATAGATTATATATACTTAGAAAGTCGAGTTTTTTTTTTTTGTCTCCTTTAAAATCTCAGATTATCAAGCTAATTGTCACTAAATGATGACACTTATTACTTCTAAGACTCTCAAAAACCGTAGGATATGGAATTGCATCATTGGAATAATGTTATGTGAGAATGAAGTAAGTAATAAGTGTGAAATGTTGAACAATGTGAAGCGAACAATTTTTTTTTTAGAAAGCTCAACTTACATGAGACTGGCCAAGTAATGAATGATATGAATGAATGATAAATGATAAGTGGAATTTTGATATAGAATGCCATAGTAGTTTAAATGAATTAATAATAAAAACAGAGAAAATGTTATTTGTTATGAAGAAATAGTTGACCCTCTAATTCTCTCATAATATTTTCTCTAGCACCTGGTAAGCAGGATAAATGCTTGTTTAGCCGATTAGCCAGCAATCAAACTATTTCATTCAATTCAATTAATCAGACTGGTTAGAATTTCATAATTATTGTTGTGAAGAACAAAACTCGAATATTAATTAAATAGCTGGAACTAATTTATGATAGTAACAACGCTGATATCTTACAATTGATGCTTAGTGTTATCAGTAGCTATCTTCAAGTACTATCACACTGCTTCCTTGTTGTCCACTTCTTCCATTCCTTTTTGTATTGCAGGAGATAAATCTTCGAAGACAGTATTCAGATCAGCACTGAAGCGAAGCTTCTCAACAAGCCTCATCGTTAAACCCAATGCCTTGCACCCATAGATTGACGTTATCATTGCTATCACTAACTGTAATTATCCTTGCAATAAATTCAGATTTCATTAGCTTGAATGAAACTTCACTGATTGAGGCTTAATTCAAATATTCCCAAAAATGCGAAATCAAAAGAAGCCAAATTAAATGTAATCCACTGCCATATCACTTTTTTTGAATTCTAAACTGCTTTCACTCTTCGATTTTTCTTTGTATGTAGAGATCAAACTGACCTCGGCAAAACAAGTGAAACTTAATAAATAGTCGATAGCCAATGATTCATGCATGTCAAATAGCCATTCCTGATTCGATCTAGGAAATGCATTTGCCATAACCGGAAGCGTACCTAGGAATTAATAAAATAATTTGTTTTCAGTGAAATTTGTTAAATGCCAAATTTTTATTTCAAAATCATTCTTTACACAGGTACTGAGAGTAAGATGAGAAATTAGATTACCCAGTATAAAAGGTATAAGCGAGAGAATACAATTCAGCACAGATAAGATGAATGTTGCTGCTGCTGCGCTATAAGACCTGAAATTGTATCACGATTGTAATTTTTATTTGTTTCAGGGATAAAGAATTGAAAAATATTAATTTAATCAAATTGGTAATCAAGTAAGATAATTTTTAAATCCTAATTTAATTTATGCTTATGATAAACACTATGTCAATGAATTATCTTCTGTAAAAGTGACATACAAAAATTGAATCTTTCACTGAAATAAAGTAGTCTTACTAATTTAAGTTTTGAATAAAACATAGAGATAAAAAAAGACCTTCGACTGCTAGCACAAACTCCGGTAACACCAGCTGAGAAAACGAGTGCAGCAAGAAGAAGTTCGATACCTAGTGCCCATTTTGAATTCCAGATTATCCGCAAAACTCCACAACCAAAGATTACTAATGAACAAAGAACCTGAGAAATACATTTATCATGCAGAAAAAAGCTTTACAGAGAAGTAGCCAGACGAAGAATAAGACATCTCAGCAATAATTTGTGATTGTTTTGATAGTTAGAGAATTGGAAGATAGAAGTAAACAGATGAACCTGAAGAACAGAAAGCACGGAAAGTGCATCGAAGTGGACTATTTCTTTCGCAGGCTTTAAAATATCTTCGTCAGATATTTGCGGGATAACATTGGATTCGGCAGGCCCATATAAAGACTGTCGCCTGGTGAGATAATCACTGGCCATTCCTGGAGCTCCAATAAGCATCGAAGATGCCGGTCGACTATTTGGTAATATACCCTGAAGTTGGTCAGAATTCAAGAATTTATTAAATTTCGTTTGATTTAAAAGCGATGCACTGGTAAGGAAACAGGTGACGGTTATACTATAACTATTACAGTTTTTTTCAGCAAAATTGTATGTATTCCTGAAAGGAAACAAAAGTTATTTGTTGTTCACTTCCGGTTGAAAGTGGGAATTGAAATGCCTTGATTTTACAAAACCTCTTTAAACTTTTAAAGAGCTTAAATCTTTCCGAACTTTCAAATAAATCTCATTCAATTTCACACTTGTTCTTTCACTAAAAAAATTTAAGTAGATTAATGGAAGGCTTCAAAGATGATATAGCATAATTTCCAAAATCAAGCAGATTGTCTGGATCGAAAAAATTTTTTAATGTTTAGAAAGTAAAAATTTTAGAAAAAAAAAACTCACAGCCTTTATTTCCAACTAAGGACCTTCAACAGAAGTTGCAAATTAAAAAACGATTAACAATATTAGCAAAATAAAATTACTATAATTAGAAAATGATTCACTTCTAATTTATTTTTAATTTTGAGTTTTAATAAATTTGAATGAAAAGAGATGCAACAGATAGATATGAAGTGATCAACGACATCGCAAGTACTGGTAAATTCATTCTAATTTAACAAGAAAATAAAAACAAAATCTTGATACCACCAAAAAGCTTAGTGCTCTGAAATATCTTAAGATAACCTATCAATCGGTGCTTTTGCTACAAAAACAAAAGTACTAAAAATGGCTCAGACCTGCTTGCTCATTGGATTAGGACTAATTGATGGTTGAACATGTGTATTGTAGGGGCCATATAGCTGATTGATTTGTTTAGCCATGTGACTAATTTCATTGCCATAGTTTGAATGCTGGTCGAAATCGATTTGTTCCGGCCGAGGAAGTGTACAATAGCTCTGATATCTCGATGGTCCAGTACCGATATTATCGCAAAAAGCAATGGTACCTATCAGAATATAGCAATATATTAATCAGAACTCAACAGTTATTATAACAATCTAATATTTCAGAACAGTAATATACCGCCTTTCTGATTTTTGATCTGGATATAAGTCAGATTTCATTGCACATTGATCTTCTAGAAAAACACGCATTTAAATTACTAAATTTTTCGGTTCTTTCTTGCACATTACAGCTGCATAAGTCATTTAACAAATTCATTATTATTCCACATTTAATTTAATATTCATCTATGTACTACAAGAAGAAGGAAAAAAGAAAATTAAATGAATCAAAATAATTTCAGTCAGTTAAGAATTTATTCTATGTATTTTTTACAAGATAAGAAATAAAAAGTAACATTAATAACAGTGAACAGCTGAGCAGAATTGTAAATTACTTCATCATTTCATACCTATTCCTAAGTCGCTGTTTGCTCTTGAAGGTGGTCGAGATAAGACAGGCATATTCATCGCACTAGCTGGACGGTATGATCCTGGTGGTGGTGGGATTATTCCGGATTGTGACCCTCTCCAAATTCCTTTCGGCTCCGGGCGTGGTATTGCACTGGTACCTACAGGTTGATAAATCAGATTACTCACTTTCTATAAAAAAAAAAAAAAAAAACTTTCTAACTAGCAGTTTTATCATGGTAACTAGGTTTATCAAAGTATCATATATGAATATCATTTATTATATTTATCACAGTAACTGTTGCAAAATATTGAACATTCTACGTCCGATATCACTATATAATTACTTTTGCACGAATTTATAATTATATTTTAGTGCAATATTTGCAGATATCTTTAAATTATTAATCACAGACAATTGAATTTACGTCTTTCCGTTGCAATGATAAATCGTCTGATAATGTACGATTTATTACTGTTAGTTCAAAAAATTCGAAAAAAAAAAACTAAATGAAGTGTACGAATTTGAAGGTTTTGATATGAGAATTGAGTTTGATAAGATCACAAAATCAGAAGGAATAACTTACTGTATAAGCCGTTAGTATGATGTGTTCTCATTGTCCCTTGAATACTAGATATCGTCCGTGGATGTCCTGAAAAAGCTGAAATTATTGGATTGTGACTGATATTGAAAGAACAAAATTGAAATTTTTAGGGTCCATAATTCTTAATTAGAGAAATTTCGTTGTAAATCTGCCATTTTAAAAGTAACAAAAATTTAGAAAGAAAAGGGAAGTGTTGACCTGTTTGCTGTTCAGTACCATAAATTTGCGAAAAATCCTGATTCAAACGCATGCTCAAGGTTGCATCACGCAATATATTTGCTGATGTTTTTTTACTTACTGAGCCTGATTTGAATGGCGTGTACGGAAAAGGTTGTTTCAGATCTTCACGCTAAAATATCTTAGTGAAAACAAATGATATGAGAATAGTAATAGATCAGCATGACTTCTAAAGAATATTTTTAAAATAGTTTTTAATTATTTTTATTCAAAAAGTATTTTTCTTATTTTTATATCGACTAAATTTGAAAAAAATAACGGTCGCTGAACAATAACTCATCAACTGAAGTCTATTTAATGTGGTTTTTTGAGCTCTAGACTTTAAAACCCTTTTTTTGAATATTCATTTTCTCTTCTGTATGCTTCTGATAAAAATTTCCATCAATATTGTATCAAATGAAAAGATTTAATTTGTTTATAGTCTAACAAGCATTTAATCGAATCATCTTTGTATCGAAGAAAAGTTCATTTGCGAGTTACCAATAAAATTTCATAGCTGACATTCTTTTAGTCCTTATGTAACTATGTATCAACATTTTACTTCATTTCTTTGATTTTGGCTCATCTTTACATTATTACAACAATATGAAATGTTTTGCTAATATGATTAAGCCAAATTTTTGAATGCACTTCCCTGGGTTCACTTTGCTTATTCCACAATTTGTTCCAACACGTTCTAACTATTTATGCATGGTCCAATGCAAGCATACCTCACGTGTAATACTGGTATCTGAAGCAAAAATACGCTTTTTCCGTTGAAAGTGAACGATTAAAAACGTACACTTTCTTGCATTTGTTTTGACCAAGCCTCACTAATTCCGTGCTTTTTCTTTGGTAGAAACTGCTTGTTTACAGTTGTTTCAGGTCGTTTTGGTGTTTGTTCATCGCTTTTAGCAAAACCTGTTGACCAGAATTGATTCCTGATTCCTTTACTTGTTTTTGGCTCTTTCAGAGCTGTTTCCGGTGTTGTTGTCGGCACAGTTTTAAAACCCATTACTGCGACGCCTTCATCTGCAGAATTTAATACCTTTTTTAAATAAATAAACCCTGATTTTAGTAAAAAATTTGATATAAAATAGACTTTTAGAATGATATACGATAAGAATGCATCATCGCTTTTACCGTATAAAAGAATTATTTACACAAAATGCGAAATTTTCAAAAGATCAGTTAAAAAGAATAGTCATTGATCGGTATGTGTAATTAAAATCTCTGATGATATTTTGTATCAACTTTTATATGATAAAAATTCTTCCACTTTGAAATATATTCAAGATAAATTATATCTTGACCTATTCATATCTTCTATTTTTTTATTTTTACACTAGTGAAGATTGATTTAGTTAAACAGGAAATGATCCATCTTCGCTTAATCAGTATCTTCGTTTCAAAGGAAGTTTTGTCTTTTTTTAATATTTCGAATGAAAGAATTTGTCACAAATTTAAAACATTTGATTCCAATTATGGTGGTATATTTTTAGAAATGAAACTGAGGAAAAAAAATGATATTTAATAGCATAAAGAGCAGGAAAATAAAGTATCTTTTTTTTTAAATCTAACAACCATGCTGAAAAAAAGAGGGATAATTTGTCATAATTACTTTTGTTATATTATTTGCAAATCGTATTATTACTTACTTTCCGAATTTTAAAACTGTGGTTGTGAGATGGTACCATATTTGAGCGTACATATAAACAGCTGAAATTTCTGCAACTATTATTTATACATTGATTAGAAATGAAGTTATTTCTTAAATAGCGGTCGTGAAAGATAGGATTGACGACTGTTGTGAAGATGTGTGGTTCTGTGTATAACTTAGCTTCATAACTCTACTAGCATAACATTCCATTCTTTACTTTTATTTCTGTCACAATCATTTCATATTTTATCTGCTCTTCTTACTTTAAACTAGTGATAATATTGAGAAGGCCATACGAAATGATTCCTTCAATAATTTAGGTCATTTAGCAGAAGAAATGCAGAAATGAATGTATACTGGTAGACATATTAACATGATACGATGTTTTCTCTTTGGAGAGATGACATTTTTTTGAAACCACCTTGAAATTCCAGCAGCACAGTGTGTGTAAATCAGTGGTAGAAGTGAAGGAGGAGGTGAACGAAGATGTGTTGCAGCAGTAGGGGCAGAAAGTTGCAGGAGCGCATTCATACAGTTGTCAGATTGTACGAATGCGCATATGACGCCCGATAAATCTATCAGATATTTCAACATTTCAGAATTATGTCGATGAGTACTACTCCACGAGTAAACGTAACACAGAAGGAATTTGAACTAGAATTGAATAATGTCAATGTCTACGTATTAAATGCTCACATATTGAACCGCAATTATTTCTAACTTACTCGATCGATGCTCTAAAGATTGCAGTCCAGTAGATAACTGACACACTGATAGTATGAAAATTAAGTCATCCAAATTTCAGATTAAGCTAATATGTAACGCCCCAGAGTTTTATCATGGGAAAAGGTTGACTATTTATACTCTGAGACAAAAATCAGTCAAGTTCTATGATCAGTTAATTAAGGGAAAATTTGCTTCATTTGCTACTAGAATTGATATTTAAATTTTATTAAAGAGATTATAAATGAAATTACAAAGCGAAAGGAATGCAATAATGGAAAACAACCGAATATCTGGTCATAAAGATAATATTGGGTTATCAGGACGCACTACTGAGATTTTGCCAACTGTTCAATCTCAAATAATCCACGATGCATTTTTATTGCTCTCCTTATTAACATCAAATTTATTTTCCTTAAGAATTAATTGATTTACATAATTTCATGTGATCATTTTTCATTTTATTGCTTAAAAAATAGCCATTTTGCAGGAAACCCATTTCAATCAATCTGATACTGATTTATAAATTGAATTTACATTTTTTTATATATCAATATATTTTATCATCTTTTCTTATGGTTAATACATTTTCAAATGAAACAAATATTTAGCTAATAGAAGGAATTTCTACAGATAAGCATCTGTTTTACCTTTTTAAATTAAGTTTGAAGAAGAAAAACAGCTATGCCTTAATTTCTCCTCTAATTCAGTCGATGATTGATGAAAATTTCATTTGACATTTGCATTAATGAGCCAGAAGTACTTCTGAATTCTGGATTGATAGTAAAATAAGAATTGGACATGTTTATTACAAATAATAAAAAATCCATCTCATAGAAAACGAATTATGAAGAAAGAAATTGCAAAGTAATTTGATGAAAAAATTCAGGTATGATTAACAATAAGCTAACTGGAAAAGTTTTGTTCTCCAAAGTATAATAATAGTGAAATGTTCAAGGAAACAATTAAAAGTGAAGAGTAAAAAGTACTTCTAATAAATAAATAGATTAAAGATGTATTGATGAAAATAAGTGATATATGCCTAAAATAATGAAATATGATTCAAAATTAGCATCGCTTATTGCATATGCATATCATTCTGAAAAATGGCAATACAAAAAATCATTACTAATTAATTAGTTTGAATTTTATGTGATGTCTTTATCACAACATTAAGAAGTCAATGGAAGATATTCTTTATTCTTTCTGTAGACAAGATACTACTAATGCTAATTCAGAATAAAAAATACATCCAAATGGCAATAGATTTAGTCATGCTTAAAAGATTCGAATTTTATTCAAATTCGTTGAATACCGCGTAATGTTGATTAGATGATTAATGATTTTGTGGATTGATAGATTAATTTTGTTTTTTTGAAGAAGTGAAAGGCAAAACATAGTGAAGGGTAAATCTTTTATCGATAACTTTTTCGAGGTAATTATTTTCTTCTTCAAACTTAATTTAAAAAATGGCATCATTATACAGTGAAGAACAAATTCGTTCTTTGATAACTGAAAATCATTGATATCATGGATTTAAATAAATGTAAAAGTAGTGACAGAAAGAGAGAGAGAGGGAGAGAATTATAAACCAGTAAACCATTTTGTTTTAACGATAAGAAATGAATTAAAATCCAATCTGTGTATCAGACATAAAGCAGAATAACATATTCTGTGCATTTGTAAAAGAGCAAACAACGAGGATCGTTTTGACCTGAATTTTCCGTTAGTAGATGAAAAAGAGACGAAGTTTGAGTTCATCTTAATTCGTCACTAGCGATAGTAGTGACAATGACGACGAGAACGATGAAGATGATAAAGACAATGATGACCTCGAAGGAATTAACGCACTTTTCCATCATCACATCAAGGCCCTTACCAACAGAACACAGCAAAACTATCAACTTTGTCTGCAAATGGAATTGTATACAATGTTCGTTTTATAGAGAGAGATGTTCAGCAAATAAGCTCTCACTAAATTTCAGTATTTCTTCCTTCACTCTTATGATCTTCAGACCGAATTGAGTATTTCATGTTAAATATCTTAATGAAACTTTGATAAAACACAATGAGTATACAAGTTCTCATGATAGAAGTTTGATAATCCAGTACTAATATTCTATAGTTACAGTTTTTCGATAATTGCAAATTTTGGAGTTATATAAGTAACTTCTGAGCGAATATTATAAGACTTCTCATCTGTTTTAAGTACGGAAATAGATGTATTGATAAAAATTTGCTTCGTTGCCTTTAACTTTTAGCTTATTAAAACCTCAAAGCGCAATGTTTATTTTTCGAAAAGGACAAAAAGGTTTATGAAAAATCAGACAAATGTTGCAGCTACTAAGACCATCGATTGAATTTCATAAGTAGAATATTTGAAAATTTTATTCACATCATGGGTCGAAATCACTAATAATGCATCTTTTTGTAACTAAAATACACACACAAGTATGTAAAACTTGTTTTAAATAAACAGCAGAGTCTGAGCCAACCGAAACTATTAATTAACTTAACATAGATGTGTCGTTACCTTTGTACTTCCAACTAACGTTTTCCTTGCTCACTATTTCAGATAGCAACATTAGAATTTAGGAAAAATTAGTGAAATGGTTCGCTTCGATCATATCCCATCATGATTAAATGACAAGGTCATATTATCATGATAGAAAAGATTAGTAAAACAATGTCCAATAATGCATTATACAAACCATCAGCAAAATTGAAAATGAACGACCTTATTAAAAAAACAGTTCAATTATATATTAAACAGTAATGAAACTTTGAAAATTTCATAAGCGTTAAAAATATAGTTACTTAAAGCTATGTACTTTTCCTGTTTGCTCAAAGATGGATAAAAAAAATCTGTTTTATAAGCAATATTTCTAAAATAACAAAATATTTATCTTTGGTTCTTTTTAGTATTCAAGCTGATAAGCTGCCGCGGAACAGCAAAAAAGTAAGTGATCAAAACACAAAAAATTAGGATTTAAGTTGCAGAAATATTTCTAAAGAATTTCAAATTCGGATAGTTATTCCGAAATTTGTATCGTCGAGTAAGTTAATTTTATTTATCGTCAAATAAAGTAGTATAATTTATTTACTTCACAACAAGCATCTGGCAATATCTTATAATTTCTCACTGCAATCATGCATATTTTAAACAGAAGAAAACGAGTAGTTGATTTAATTAGTTTGTTTATTGACAGAAAAATTCGAAAATTTTTGAAACATCATTCGACTGGTAAACTGGAAACAGAAGAAACAACTCAATTTTCTCGACAATTCCAGCAACTTCGTCTTTTCGAGAAATTTTTATGAATTGTTAGATTATTAAATGTAAGAAATCAATATCATAACAAAATGATTAATTTTTCTGTAAATTATCTTTCAAAAACATCTATCTGTTTTTGTTAACTAAAGCCGATGTGAGACTTAAAAGTATGCGAGCAAAATTTACGAATATTCCACCGTACGACATCAAAGCGAAAACATTTTATGGGAAGCGATGAACCTCCTTTGACTTTGACGTAAAGTGGTTCATCAAATCAATTCCCACCTTTCATGATCACAAACAGTCACGGAGCAATGAAGAAATAAACTTCTGTCGTAATGAAGGAGAAGTTCAGTAG